CAGATTTTCTGCCCATGCTGTATGCACAGAAGCAACTTTCCAGCCTTGTTCTGGAAGCTAATGTGAAATAACTTCATATCTCTTTATGTCTGGGAGGAGCCAATGAGCAGAAGGAGAAACTCCTCCATGCTTTCTTTGAGTCACCTGCAAGTCACCTCACAACACCAGTCAAGCTTTGCTAATCACGCAGCTCTGTCCCCTCCTCATTCCCCTACTTCTTCTTCCTCATTTGTTTGAGAATGCCTGCGATTTATTTCAACTGTCTATGAAGAGATCAACAGTGAGACAAATCTAATTTATAGGACAAGACATCACCACACAGCCTCAGAGCTTGTGTTTGACAGCATTACTATCACCCAGCATCACTATAATTCATCACTATGACCCACAGCAATAATTTATACTGATACAAACCAACAGTGTTGATGTAGCAAATCATCCAAGTCACTGCTGACTTATAAATCCCCTTTTTCTTTTCCCCTCCCTGTTCCCAGCTGCAGCAACATCATCATAAAGGTGGAGAAGCAGTAGGGAAACATGTTTGCTATTCTGTGTTATCTTTTAAAGCAGTAAGACAAGGCAACCGTCTCCAAAGATCAAACTATTTCCCAAGAGATTCTGTGTAAAAGAAGCCCACTCAGATGATACAGTAGGTACAGACAGAGTGGGACCCGCAGGGACTTGGGGAGTTACAGGCTCTGGCATTGCAGTGATGGTCACTCTGTCAGAAGCCAACAGCAGCAGGGTTGAAGACCTGAGGGCTCATGGGATCCCTGCCAATTTCCTATATCCTTTACTGGGTCAAAGCTGGTCTTCAGGAGTACCTCTGGCTCCTCAGTCTAAACCCAATTTTCATGTTAGTTGCTAACGGTCTGCTGCACCACACATGCTGCAGTGATCTTGTACACCGTGCGTGTGCATATCTTACAGTAATCACTGTAAAAATCAAGTTTTGCAGTGATGTACCACAAAGTTTCAGTGGGTGACCCCAAACCCTCCTGACCACCAGCCACATCCAGGAGGTCACTGGGATGTTGGTTGGACTGCACGGGAGCTATCATTTAGAGACACAGGGCTGCTTCCTACCCAGGCATCCCTAGCACTGTGCTCTTTACAAGAGCATGTAGTGACAGGACAAGAGGCAATGGCTTTAAACGGAACAAGGGGAGATTTAGATTAGATATAAGGAAGAAATTATTCACAGTGAGAATGGTGTGGCACTGGCACATGTTACCCAGAGAAGCTGTGGATGCCCCATCCCTAGAAGTGTCCAAGGCCAGGCTGGATGAGGCTTGGAGCAACCTGGTCTAGTGGAAGGTGTCCCTGCCCATGGCAGGGGGGTGGGACTCAATGGTCTTTAAGGTCCCTTCCAGCCTAAACCATTCTGTGATTTTATGATTCCATGATATGACTACCAATGTGGGCAGAAGGAAAGCAGAGCAAGAACCCAGCTGTGGCTCTACAGCATCCACTTCAAAAGCATCATGGGATCTGATGCTGAGTCCATGTTGCTTGTGATCTGTCTGGTGCTTTTGGGAGACAAACCATGCTCTGGCAGAGCAGAAAGGGGATACGTGCAGGTGGCTTTGGCTGCAAAGTAAGAACTTAGTCCTCAGTAAAATATCAGATGGAGTTATTACTGTTAAGTCCTTTCCTGTGAATTTGCTTAAGACAGACTTTGGGTGAAGGGCAAAAGTCTGTTTTAAAAATCTGGATTTGTGCTGGTGACAGTGTTGATAAAACAGGGATGTTTTCAGTACTGCTGAGCAGTGCTTACACAGTCAGGACATTTGCTGGTCCTCACCCCACCCAGCAGCAATTGTGCTGGGGGGGCAGAAGAAGCTCGGAGGGGACACAGCAGGGACAGCTGACCCCAAGGGACAAAAGGGATCTTCCATCCCATACATTTGGCATCATGTTCAGCATGCAAAGCTGGGGGAAGAAGAAGGAAGGAGGAGGACACGTTCAGAGTTGTGGCGTTTGTCTTCCCAAATCACCGTTACACACGATGGAGCCCTGCTTTCCTGGGCATGGGTGAACACCTGCCTGCAATAGGAAGTGGGGAATGAATTCCTTGTGTTGCTTTGCTTGTCCCACAAAGCTTTTGGTTTACCTATTAAACTGCCTTTATCTCAGCCCATGAGTTTTCTTATTTTTACCTTTCTGACTCTCTTCCCCATCCCAACCTGGGAGTGTGAGCCAGCAGCTCTGTGGGGCTCAGTTGCTGGCTGGGGTTAAATCAAGACACTATACCACAGTTAATTTCTGATTTGACCAATGTCTCCACTGCTGCTAACAGTCAGGAGATGGATAACATTCACAACAATAAAAGACCTTGCCTGATACAGTCTCAGCTCATAGGCAGCCCTGTTACACTACGATTTGTCAAACTTGGAAAAGAAATGAACAGGAAATACCACCGGAACAGAGCTGCAGATTATTAAGCACAACAGCTAGGAAATATAACAGTTTTCATGTAACCTCACACTCAAGAATCTCTGACATACTGACTGCAGAGGATGCATAGGGCAGGGATCACTTGGTACCTGTCCTGCTTCCAATATCTTCTTCTCTAAGCAGCTGCTGCTGGCTGCTGTTAGAGACAGGCCGGGAGGCTGCTGGACTTCAGGGATGACACAGGACCTCTGTCTCATGACTTCTGCCTTTGCCATTTTGCAAAGAAAAGCAAAAAATGTCCCTGAGTGGACATTTGCATCTCTTACGCAAACTCCCGTGAGCACTGTGAAGGCTCACTCCAAGACTCTGCCTTTGACTGTTCAAAACTTACCTGGTGTCTTTAGACCCACAGATTTTTTTTAAAAATAACACATCTTTTATATGATGTACTGGTAATTAAGTTTTCCCTGTTGGCCACCAGCATCAAGAAGTGGTGGTTCATTTTCTTCCATTATGCACTGGTGCAAATCAGGAATCTCTATTGTAATTAGTGTCATCATAGTGAAACACGAGAAAACTGTGCCTTAGTTCAAAGCATTTGCTGACTTGTGTGCAAGACAAAGGATAATTTTTTTGCTCCACCCTCCCAGCTAGGAAAAAAATAATTCATTTTCTGTACCTCTGTTTCACCACTGATAACAGATAGCTCACGTCACATGGCGTGCTTGTAGCTCTCTGGGGAAAATGTGATGTAGTTCTCTGTCTTGCCTTTCCCACCTTTGCACAGACCTTTAATTTTGCCATCTACTCTTCACATCTTGGCTAGATTTGCTACCAGCGTCCGATTTCTAAACAGTTCATGACCATCCCTCTTTGATGGCCACATGTTTAATTGGTTGTCAGAAATTGCTTGTGCTCTTCTGCAAACTCTCAGCTTTCATACGTTTCAATTTTTGTATCTTGGGGTCATGAGAATGCACAGGAAATGTGGCAATTTCTTTTTCTTTAAAGCAGTGAGATTATAAGCGTTGAGTTATGGCAAAAAGATGAGTAGCCTGCCCAGGGTGTAATCTAGATACTCAAAAAGCAGAACACAAAAGAAGCTATAAAATTGCATGATTCTTTTAAACATTCTCATAATGTTTTTGGGGCCCACACATGATTAAAATAGCAGAACGGAAATGCCACTACAGCACCTGTCTTTCGTGATGCCAGGGGAACGGTGTTGGCAGTTATGTTGCATGAAGGTACGGAGGGGACCTGAGTTTCTCTGCTTTCCTGCTCTGGGCTGTCACGGGACCATTTCCTGCCCCAAACCAGGGAGGTGCAGAGATGCTGCACTCTGCCCAAACACAACCACCCCCTCACTCACTGCCTCCAGCAGCCCACGGTGCTGCTGACTGCTGGTATGTTTATAAAATCCTATCATTCACTGAATGCTTTCTCTTTACCTCACTACCCAGAAAAGCAACTAAACTGATCGACAGATCTTTTTGTCTTTCATTCCATGAGTCGAATCCTCCACCAGTGTATGCAGGGATGGCATCATGGAAGTCAAACTCATCAACCCAGCACGTCAGATTGCAATCCTGGTTTTGTGTGAGTGAGGAGGGGGCTATGGTGCAGTGAGGATTTTCTCAGGCAGGTTGGATTGATCCTTCCACCCCAGAGAAGCAGACTGGTGATGCACAGGGATGAAGGCATGTCCTTCCCATGCCTGGCTGCCGCAGCTGCTGTGCCCAGCATGTATTTGCAGGCTACAGCTCCCATCACCCCACCTCTTTGGTGCAAGGAGTGGGTTAAGAGTCCCCGTTAACCGTTATCACCCTGTGGGTTCCCAACCCATGACGCTGCACACCAAGTGCAACAGAAGAGATTATTTTAAGTGCTAGAAACCGCATCTTCACTGTGACTTAAAGCCACCTGAAAGCACCGCTGTGGAAACAAGTGGAGGGGAAGAAATGTCCCTCCAGGCTCTGCTGCCTCTGCTCGCTGCCATCTGCGCCCACCCCGAGCAGTTATGCCAGCTGCTTGGCAGCTGAATACAGCCACAGAGCCAAACGGAACCCACAACGGTGCATATAGTGTCCAACTGGCCATGGAGAGAGAAAAAAGGCAGCTTTGCCCACCCTCCTTCTGCTTCCCTGGGGCCCAAATCCCTCCTTCCTCCAATGACCCATGGTGTCAGCATTCCCAGTTTCCATTGCCAATATGCTGCTCAGTTTCTAACCAACAGGTCCAGGTAGTTGTGCTGAGCCCTGGCCAAACTACACACCCCTGCAGGGGTAAGAGCTCCTGCATTAAGCTGCAAGGGAAAAACAGGAAGCAGAGTGAGTTTCACTGAGCTCCAATTGATATAGCCAGGGAAAAAGTAGTCAAAAAACCCTCCCAGTACAATAAATTTCTTCCTGTCCCAGTCTCCCTCCACCACCTTTATTGCCCATCCCTCTTAAATCAATGTTTTTCTCTTTCAGGAACGCAGAAAAGTCAACAGTCAGGAAACCTTGTGATCTGCAATGATTACACCTTCTGCAAATATTACACCTCTGCCTCTCTTTGCTTGTCTCCCTCTCCCTGCCCCCTCTTTCAGTCCTGTAACTTACCATGTGGAAGATCCCTAGAGCGACTGTTGCTGTCTTGATGTTGAAGAAGCAACATTTGGGGGGCTCAGGGGCCGTTGAGGCAGTCATTTTCTGGTCCCTCTGCACAGCTGTTACCGAGGTTGAATTCGCAGCAACCACCCCACTGAAAAGCGAAGCAAGCAGTGCAGCTCAACTTCCTTCCTGGTTTGTAAATGTGTTAAGTCATCTACAAAGTCACATGAGGTCTTTGATTTCTTAGTAATAAAGAAAGCAAAATTGTGTTGCTTTTCTAACAGATCTTTAACTGCTTGCACATCCCAGGTGGCAAATATAAGCACAAATGCTGCTTTGGCAGGTGGTGCCCAGCAAGGGAGGTATATGGGAAGAGGAAGGATCCAAAACAGGCTGCAGCTTTGTCCTACAAAAATCATCTGAAACAAAAGCAGGGGGCCAAGAATTTCACCTTAAACTTGACCTGCTGTTTTTGCAGTGAAGCATCCAAGGTCTTCAGTTTGAAATGTCTCGTTCCTTGCCAGCAAACTCACTATTCCTTGGAAGTGCTCCTGGGAGCCGATGCTTGAGCAGCCCTGGACTCTGAGACCAGAAGGATGGTGGGACTCCAAGGGTCAGGGTTGTTGGCTGAGAGATCTGCGGATTTGCTCCCGGTTCCTGGGACAGCTGATGTGATTTATGTTAGTCAGCTCTTGGAAAAGAAAAGCAATGGAGAGATCTGAGCCTGGTGATTAGCCACCGTGCAGGACACCGCTGCTTGAACTTACTAAAATGTGCTCTTCACTATATATTTACTACCATTCTCATAAAAAACATTTCCCTATGGGACAGAAAAGTCATGTTCAGGCCTTCTGTGGAGCAGATTGACATGAGTTTCTGGCTTTCTGGGAAAGGTCTGCTGTGCCACAGCAAGGTGACAGGTCTGCAGCAGGTAAGTGCAGGTAAATGTAATGGGACAGTTGGGCACACTCAAACAAGCTCTCAGGGGACTTCTTAAGTGCCAGCCTGCCTGGTTTCAGCATCCAAAATGTACCCCCTGAGTTTATTGTTTAATGCTTCCAGGAGTGTTCCTAGACAGCATGTCATCAGGGCCTTAGGCAGAGGGATTTCTTGATTGTTCCTATGAAACTAAATGTACAAATTCCACCTCAGTGCCAGGAAATAGCTGTTACAGAGCCCTCCAGATCTGTACGGAGTACTACACATCCAGCTGTGTTATGGGCGGCGTGCTGGAAAGCTTCAATCTGGCTGAGTGGATGTTCCCAAATGCCATGGAAGTTCCACAGTGATGTGTTCTTAGAGAAAGTCCGGTGTTTGGGGCAGTGATGGTATGAAATATAAGTAGCTAAATGCCCCTGCATTTGAGACAGCATCAACTGTCACATGGTCCATAAAAGATAGGCCGTGCCTTTCTGCCCAGAGTCCCCCTCCAGAGCCAGGGATGTCTGCAGCACAAAGACATTTCAGGGCAGGGCAGGGCAGGGTCAGTGCAATTGAGTCACATTGCATATTCCCATGGTTTTCTTTGGAATCTCACCAAACCTCACAGTTTATTACTTAAGTCCCAGATTTTGAAGTCAATGGTTCCCTCTTATTTTTTTCCCCTCCTTTAAGGATGCCTCTGTGTTTTCCAGTCTTGCATTTGTGGGAAACTGTTTACAAATACAGGCTAAGCGCAGCTGAATGGAAGAAGAAAAGGGAAAAGGATTCTCTGTTTTTTGGCACTGTTTGGTGATTACACTGCATTCTAGCCAATGCCATAAAAAGATGGGAAGAAGATGGACTCATATTCTTCAAAAACCTGATGACAGCCGTACAAATTGGCTGAAGGCTGAAAGCAGCCTTGGGGCACCCCTGGGGACCAGCTCTGAGTCAGAGCTCACACTGCCGTGGATAATTTAGAATCATAGAATTCTTGCGCTCACCACCATCCACTGGCTCAAGGGAAATGCTCAAATGCAAAAAAAAAAGACACATTAGAAGGCTGAGCATCCTGGGAGAGAGTGGGAGCTTAGTTGGTTTTAAATCAGCTCCAGGTGATACAGACTGGTTTGGTGTGTGTTATTTCAGTTGAGGTCCATGGCTTTAAACTCCAGTTGAAAATTTCCTTGCAAATCCAGCTGAGCCCACACTGCTGAGCCCATAGTAATTCATGCTCACCACGACTAGAGAGGTCTGCTTTCCTCCTACACAGCTTTCCATCCAAGGTCCTCAGCGGGCGCTGCAAAGGTGGGCACGCATTATTATCCCTTTTCTACAGATGGGAAACTGAGAAATGTGTGCAGAAATGCCCTGGTTCATGGCCACTGCTAGCCAGAAGAGAGCTGGGAAGGTAACTGGTGCCTGTGGATTCACAGGCTGCTCAGTTTACAAGGAGAGACTTCATTGCAAGCAAACATAAAATTTATAGACACTGAAATTATAGCATCGGCAAAAGATGGCATCACTGTAATTTGTGTTCTGCAAGGCACTCAAAACCTGCCTGGCTTCTGAACAGCTCCAGATTTCAGGGATACATTTTTTATGCAGAGTAAATTTGAAGTATGTTTGCTTTCACTCATCCCTGGTATGAGTTTTTACAGATTCCGCCTCTTTTTAGGATGAGAAATAAAGTAACTTCTGCACAGTATAGTTATGGGTCTCCTGTTACAAGAGACTTCCTGCAGCTTCCTGCCTCCACATGCAAATGCAAATCCATGGTAGCAGCTGGAAAATGCCCCTTCCAGATAGTTTTTGTTTATTTGCAGGTGTAAATTTTGTCATGGAGTATCACAGGGCTGAAGCCCCCGAAATGTCATCTTTTATTTGTTTTAAAGCCATAACTTTCTATCAGTGTTCCTTAAAGTATGATGGGAAATATTTTCAAAACTCTTGAACCACTGCGGGAGACACTTTTCTTCAAGTGCCATTGCTGTAGGTTTGGGGTTTTTGGGGTTTGTTTTCTTCTTTTTAAAACCGAGAAGAATAGCCACATCTCCTGGAAACACTGTGTGATCTCAACACTGTCGGTGGGTGTTATTAACTTTGAGAAACTCAGCATACCATCAGTCTTGCCTGTGGCTTTTATTTCCCCAATTTTAGGTGAGTTATGGCTTGTCCAGAGGCCAGGATTTTGCTGTCCAGTCTGAACTGTGCACTGACCTCCCCATTACCTGGGACAGGAGACATTTCTGCCACTTTCCCACTTACCTGCCTTGGGTTATGAGCACAGCAGGACGGTGCACTCCCATTTGCCTTTGTCTTGGAGTCCACACCCTTACCACAGCCTCTGTGGTATATATAGATCTGTGAAAACTTCGCCTTCCTGTGGTCATGACTCCAGATAAATGAGTGCAAATACCTAATATTAGTCCCTAAGCCTAAAAATTGTCTTTCCCCAAGAGACACAGCTCTGTCCCCTGTGTGTCTCCACAGGGCAGCCTGCACTGAGCACAGCACCGGATAGCCATCGGACCAGCCAGGGCTCCAGCGATGCTCAACACTGGGGCAGCAGGCACCTACAGTACCATTAATTTAAGTTTGTTTCCTGGGGATACAGCAAGAAAATCCCTCTACTAGAGATGCAGTTTATAATGGCCAAATGAGGTCTATAAGCAACACAACTTCTGCCTCCCTACTCAACATCACATGAAGAGCAAAGCAGCTCTTGAGGGGCAGAAACTTCAGCTCTGGAGATGGGGAGTGGAAGGTTTGCTTGGATATTGTCTCAGACAGGAATGTTTACTTTTTTTTCCTCCTCCAAACACAGTGGAACAATGTTATGAATCCACACCACACACAGGGAAAGCACAAAGCCATAGATGAGGACTGAAGGCAGCACAAGCATCAAGCCCTGACACTATCAGAATCCCTGGGGCAGTTAGAACTACACCAGACCACAATAATGTCTGGAGCATCTTTAGGAAAAAAGGGTTAAAAATAATATTTGGGTTTAAAAACTTGTCTTTTTAAGCATCTTTCATTTACAAATCAGTTGCAAATACAGGCTTTGCTTTACTTTCTCCACATGAAACATATTTTCTTTGGGGATTGCCTCCCCTCAATGCCATTTTGTGGGCCCAGCCGAACGAAGCTGCAGGAGGATCAAGTATTTCCTGCTAATGAAAAGCTGGTTCATAATTTGAACCTGACTTTTCTTGAAAAGCGTACTTTCCCTTTGCAATCCCCCCTCTCCTTTTAGAGGCACACAGAGACTTGCTTGTGCGTTTGAGCGTACCATACCCAAACTTAGCTCACAACGTGCAAAAACAAATAAAAAGCGTGGCCCAGGCTGGGCCATTGGCTTCAAATAGTCCTGAATGCCACTGCATATTTGGCATACAGCATTATCCTGAGTGGGCCCTTTCAGTGGTCTGCATACCAGCCTCTTCAGACACCCAGACCGTTGCTGAAAGATCAACCTTGTCGGAAGTCAGTCTGCTCTAAGGAACACAGCCTTGTTTTTTCGTGGAGTTATGGACATGTATATGCGTTGCAGAGCCTTGCCCCTAACTCCTGCCTGGAGTCACTTCCAGGTGGGACCTCTCATTTGAGGGGTCTCAGTCTTTTGGCTCAATTCACAGCCTGCTGACATCAGAAAGCATCTCCCATCAAGGCATCTCCCTCGGACAGAGCATGAGGAGAGGCTGAAATGAGCCACATGTTGCTCTCCTTCACATCCATAGCATCAAAGAGCTCCCCAGGTTTGGGTGTGCTGCTCCTCGATGAAGGCAGAGTCGAAACAGGGTGTAGGACAGCCACTGTGAACAAATCAGAGCTGCCAATTTGCCTGCATTGCTCAGAAGGGCATTAACACAGCCATACGTTCCATGTCTAAATCTTTATGCCTAATTCAGACATCATTTCAGGCATGCACTGTTCTGTATAAGGACAATTAAGGAAGAAGCGAGAATCCTGAAAGCAAGAGGTCGGGTTAGGAAGACAAAGCTTTTAGTCTAAAAAGTCTGTGCTGACTTCACAGATGAGGAAACAAAATACAAGGAAATTAAGAAGCTTTTCCCAGAGAAACAACCAGCCTACAACAGAGCTGACTTGTACTTAAGCTTCCTGCACACAAACCTCTAACACCCTCCCTGTAACAGTCTCTCAATTTCCAT